CTATTAACTTCATTGACCCTTTTCGTAAATTTTCACGTAAATAATTCGACAAGTCCATGTGTGATCAGATTGTTCGAAATGTATAGTGCCAATACATCACTGTTTCAGATGTTCTTCGTCTTCTCATTTATCAAAGGGACTAGTTGCTTTAGTCGTTAATTGTTTATTTCAGTTGTTGCTAGGGTGGCCTTTAGAGTTTCTCGATCTCATTCATCTGCACATATAACTAAATTACTTTACCACAACACATCATGATTCATAAAAATGAAACAAGTTCAAGCATAAAATATATGGGATAATGGCATAACAATGAGTTTAACTCAACATACAGTTATTTCCGAAATATAGGTCATGCATAAATGGGTGAAGAGTCAATCGAAAGCTGTTGAAACGAGATATGCAATGGTGTTACTAATTAGGTCATAAGTAAAACGACTTTTAAAATAGGCGAAATAATACAACCAGTGACAGATGAGCTTCACAATTTCCATTTTTCGGCTGATTTAACAGTCTAAAAGACATACTAAAATTCTAAATAAACAACAGAAGGGAACAGGTATCCATTAAAGTAGATAAGAAATGTATTTCATTTACACTACTTTTCAAAGTTGGTAAGCTATCGATTGAATAAACTGCCAAATTAAAAGAATCATGTTAGGAACTAACCTGGCTGAATACTGATTACCGCTGTATGAAACAAAATACTCGATTAACTCAGTCGACAGTAAACTGGATATCAATTTCTTTTGACTGCAAGTGTATCTACTAATCTAGAAGTAAGTACATCTGAAGAATAAAGAGAATATGAATAAATTAAGGGTCATATCTCTTATGACAGTTAAATAGCCTGCCACACAATGGACATCAGACATGGAACTGTCATGTCAGCGGTCTCCAAGGACGGAGGACTTCAAGCTACGTTTTAAGTGTTGGAAAAGGGGAATGGTAGTCAGTCTGTCATCATCCTCTAATACATACCTTTTTTGCACAGGAATTAAACTCTTTCAAAATTTTAAAATTTACATCTTTTCTTTCAGTCTTTTTCAATTCCAAACTACTATTTATCATTATCATGTTTACCGTAATTTCAAAACTGTCAATTTGCAATCAGAATCCCTTCCAAATCGTTGAATCAGTCGGTGAACATTCGTTGCAGGATATTGAGACCGGACTTCTTTTCGAAATCACTTGACCTATCTATCTATCATTTTGCTTTACAGAACTGTTCCTATGATGACATAATGAGGTAAAACCTAATGAAACATTAGCAATCGAAAAGCTTAAATCTTTATTGTTTCATTTTAAAGTAGTACAAGCAATCTCCTTCTTTATAGTAAGGAAGGATAATGGCTATCAGTGGGATATAGCACGCGCGTTTCGTCATATTTAGGACTCATTAGCTGGATTTACCTGCCTCCCAGTAAGTGATGTGGTTTCTTGTGAGATTGGAAGCTGGGGCCTATCGCCACAAATGCCATGGAGTTATCCACTAGACCTCTAAGTCACAACAGCCACTTCTTTTGCGACAGGTTTAGTTTTCATGATTTTGCTTGTATTATCTTTTCCTTTACCTTAACCATCGGAAAGGCATGACAGCCCTATATGATTCTCTTATGACGTAAATTATCTCGCATTCATATGTGGACTTTCACTATTCAGTGTATGATGCAGATGCCCAGGAGCTCATACTGATGCTGCATTTTCTATGAGAAAAGGGGTTAGAAAACATTGACTCAAAAACAGCACACCTGCTTCTACCCTGCAGCCTTATACTACCAGCGGTGTTTTGTAGCCAAATCTAAGTAAATCATAGCTAAACTTTAAGCTCCTTAAAAAGCAGTATTTGATTGGCCTCGGACATATATGTCTTATGGTATACGGCCACGAGTCTCTACAACTAATACAATTTCTTTTTCAGGTGCCTCAGGATAGACAAACCTATTCAAGGGGTGGGTAGATGGAATATATCAACCGTGCTCAGAACTGTATCAGCACTGAAATAAACTAATATCCATTCTAAAATTCTTTGCTTTCAAATCTTTCTTCCCACCTCTTGGTCAATAATTCTGTCATCTGTAATTTCTTTCATATCTGCTGCCATTGATAAGAACCCAGAGTTCATGAAATAGCACTTTTAGTCTTCTGAAACCACGCTCCAAACTGAATATCGACGACTTCTGTCTAACTGGACAAGAATCTACGATAGCCAGAATACCGACACTTCGGAAAACGGATATATGTGGTGTCTGTGCGGTTACTGACCTAACCCTTTTCCATTAATATTGTGAATATCCAGTTTCTAGTGATTCAGCGACTATGTCCTACGGTATTGCAGGTGTAGGTATCGCCACGTTTTACGGAAGAAAAAGATATGTAAAAGGCTTCTGTGTTAGGTAAGATTGCTCAATTACTTCAGATTGATTATAAAAACTCATTCAAAAAGTCAATAGTTAGTGAGACTGTGACTTATTCTCAAGCTTACTGTTACCCCACATTAGCAGTATCTTTGACCTGAAGCAGATATTTGACACCATCAATTGAGACGTCCAAAGACAGTCTCATCGAAAGTGGCAAATCGCCGTGTTGGAAGTAGTGTACTAATTCGAACAGATGTGAGTTATGCACAACGAGTGGTGTCCGTCAAGGGTATCCACCCTCCCCATTCTTATTCAACTTTAGCTTATGCATGCTTATGAAGATTACCCTCTCCTCGTCTAATTAGCCGGGATTAACCTTGTCACGGGAGACTCCATAGCAAACCTAGGTTACGCAGATGACATAGTGCTGTTAGGTGAGGACACTGATAAGATAAAAATAGCTTAGACACCTTGAGAATGCGTCTCTCACCACTCAAATGAAAATTCTCTTCAGGACTGGTCCGTGATGATGCCTTGTCTAGTAATAGGAAGTAAAGTGGTCAAACGTGTTTACCACTTCTCTTACTTCGAAAGTCGGATCATCCCTAGTAAGTCAGTGATCGATGAAATCTCCACATGAAAATAAAAGGCTTGATTGGTTCTTTTCGTCGTTGGTGACGCCGTGTTGTGCGATTACCTGACGTGAGAAATGGTCTTTAAAAGTAGAAGATATGAAGCGATTACAGGGTTTTGATCACAGATGTCTTCAAAGCACTGCTCATGTTTGGTGGAACCACCATACGAGCAGTGTTGTGGTCAGGCACAGGGTACTAAGAAAGATAGGAGAGTCGACTAATCAGGTTGTGAACCTGAGATGGCTCGGACATGTACTGAGTATTCCAAGCTACTGCCTACTTCGACCTGTATGCTAGGGGAAGTTGGATTAGGTTGGAAGAGGGTCCGAGGTGGCCAGAACAAGACATGATACCGGTCGATGAAGTTTCTTACTGTTGGTCCAAGTCATGTGGGGACATACAGACTGGTTGGGGTACCCGAGAAGAAAAGAACCAGTGGTTGAGGACTGACTTATGGTGACATTCCTGAAAATCGGTTGCAATGGTGCAGATGTATTCACTCCTTGATATCTTCTAAGGCTTGAATATTTGCACTAACCGTTATCTTCAAACTGCTTATTCTCTCACACCACTTCATGTACTCTGATATCACTTTTTTTCTATCCACTTATTCTTTGTATGCTACTGTAGTGTGGCGAATTGAACCGATGCTCTTATGTGCGAGGTTCTACGTTGATTCTGTTTGCCTGCTTTTTAACGTACTGCGCTACGGTTTGCTTTGTTCTAATAAATGGCTGTGAAACGTGGCTGTCAAAGGTAGAGAGAATAAGAAGGTTTCAGGCGTTCAAATGACGTTACCTTCGTAGCAGAGGACGTGTTTCGTGGTGCCGCAATGTAAGTAACCTTGAAGTTAGACGTAGGTAAATAGGTAACTCATTCGATGAAGCTGTGAACTTACACCCACTCAGATAACTGGGACATATATTATGCATACCTAGTCACTGCTTACCTCATCGCACAAAGTCAACAGAAGTAGGTTTAAGATACGAAAAGGTTAGAGGTGGCCAAACTGAAATGTGATATCATTAGATCAAGTCATGAACTGTTGCTTCTAAGCCGTGTGCAAAAATGCAGACCTACAGGTTGCGGCCCGCATGACAAGCGACATCAGTAGTTGCAGAATTCATAAGGTACGGCTAAGAAACGATCCCAGAGAAGCAGATATACGCACGGAGTAACCTCATCTTAATTATCATAGCGAATTCCACTATTGTTTCATTTCTTCTTGTTCGTTTTCAACAAATTTCTACCACTTTTGATGACTTTCTTCTTTATTTCTCTATCTTTCATCTTGGTGCCTTCTTGATCGATGTAATAGTGGTATTAGCTATGGCCGCATGAACCGTCACTCATTGGTGTCAGATCCCAAGTTGATGCTAGCTGATAGACCATTGTTACATTACTATCTACTCGGTCAGCAATCACAAAAACACTGGTCGAAATAAGATAGGCTGATCAACAGGAATACTGAATCTCTTCAACTAGATTTGCAGTAAACATAAACATCAGTTCAGCTTATTGACAAGGAAAACAAAGTGAATCAGGAGTAATTAACCGAAAGAGAATAAAGTTGAAAATGGCTAACAGCCAAATAATTTATTTATTTCAACTAACTACCATCATTAGCTTAATGTTTCCAGTCTATCCGGTATTATTCATCACGGACTAACACCAGTCAGAGAATCACTGAAAACTTGGGACCACTGGACAGCTGTTTCGTCCTAGCATGGGACTCCTCAGTAGTGCGTACCCACAACCCTGCCAAGAATCGAACGCTGGACCTTCAGGTTTCACGGTGAATGCACTAACCATTCAAACATCGAGTCGGAAATAAATGGTTCACAGTTCCCTACTTCTGTCAATTCATGATATAGGGCAACTATTGATCAAGGTCTTCAGTTGGCATTCGCTTCACTTCCGACTGGCTGACCTAACAGGTCACAGCATCTCTGTGAAACAAATGATCATTCAGGCTAAAACATAGTTGACTGTAATAACTGACCATCTTATACCTTTCCTCTTTATTGAGAAGAAACAAGTGAGGTATTTTGTTTTGTTTTGATAATCATATTCCATATACGTCTTACTTAGACACACACATACACAAAAAAAAACAATATTTACGTATAAAATATTGGTAGTGCAAACAAGTAGAAAAAAAGGCGGAATGGAAGTTACATGTAATGCATAACATGATAGTATTCAATAAAGGCTTCTTAAGAATGCAATCGTCTCTTAACTCTCTCTCACTCTCTTACAGTCTTATAAAAAAGACAAATAATATAACTGAGAAAACTCATCTGTTTATTATTTATGTATGGTTGATTGTTGTATTTTATTTGAAAAATCGAATCAGTAATCAAATGAATTGTTCGAGAATGCAGTGTTATTAAAAGGGAATGGGCAGGTGGTAGGTAGGTAGGTCATCATCTCATTATCAATCAGCTCGAATGAAAATAACAGAAAAACAGATTGTCTGACAATGAGTAACGTGAAAATCCGACTACTGAATTAACCTCATGTTAAAAAGCTTGCATGCATGCACAGACGTGTTCGTGTGTGCACACACATCATTACACTATAATATACTCTGAAGTCAGTTCATACAGAGGATATAAACCGCACAATTTACAGTGTAGTGTAACTGCGTCGGTTACGCCTGCTGAATATAACAAATATAGTTACAGCAACGATAATGCAGATAATTAGTGCAACACCAACTCCAATCGGTACAGCATTATTGACACCAGTATCTAAATCGCATGATCTTCCTGTTGAAAACGAAAACAACAGTGATTATTATGAGAAAAGAGAAAGAAATATATAATTAAAGGATGATATAGTTTTCCCTTTCGAGAAACTGATTTGCTTGGCTGACCATTTTTAAATATGCTGAAAAAAAGGAATAGGCGTAAGATAATCAGAGACACTAAATTATGGGAGCAGGTAACGGCGGTGGGCTTAGCATCATCATCGATATACCATTTCTCCTATGACACAAGATCGGTCACACTGGTACAGATGTATGCACTCTCTGATATCTTTGAATTCTCAAATATTTTCATTATTCCTCATCTATTTGTTTACTGTTCTGTCATACACTTTTATATACTTTATGGCATTCCTTTCCGCTACAATTCTTCTTTGCTTGATGCTTTGAAGGCCAGTAATTTGAACCGGATTATTTTTCTGCCAGACTCTGTATCAATTTGTTGACCCAATCTTTTCCCAAAATTTAAATTAAAAATATGATGAACTTGCAGGCATGGATGGTTCAATAATGTATCCGGCACTTTATTCGGGTGTGTAGGTGAATGCGTTTCGCTAACGTGTAACAGGATCCATGCACTTTCCTTTCATGAAAAAAGGTGATATTATCTCAGCTATTTTATAGATGTAACCGTCAAGATCAGTAGATGGACCTGGTGTTTTTTTGGGCAACCGATTTACCAGTGATACTATCTCGAAAACTCCCGCTCAATTGGCGACTGAATATCACAAATTTACCCATTTAACTAAAGGTAGGGATGGCAGAAGAAATGCATCTGTTGTTTTGTAATATTTACCAGTGTTCGAGGAAGTGATTCAGAACAAAGGTTTGATTTATTCACATACAAGCGAAGTGATAAGGATTTTGCTCCCCATAAATCAGTTTCCATCACATCTTGAATAGTCTACGTACAATAATACAAGGTTGTACCTCCAAACTTCAACGTTTACACCATACAAGGCGAAGATATTTTGACGAGTTTGAGGGAAAATTTCCAGCTAGTGACAATATTCTGAACAACTCAGTTATCGTACTGGCTAGATTTCCACCGCTTTTAGAATTTAGCTAACCGCTCATCTTTTATATTGAGGGTTTTATGACTTTTTAGAGCTCGTATCTCCTGTAGTGTCCCAAATTCTTGCACTAAAACAAGATATTTTGGCAGCAACTGTTTGGGAAATAGTCAATCTTATAATTTTAAGGGAGTTAGCACAGATGACTGAAACGAGTGACTAACTACTGAAAATTCATTGCCACTTTTCTGCTTTACGTTTAAGCATCTTGATGTGAGAAGTCAATGTGTCAAGACTCTTGATGATATGATTTTACAACCGATTGCAACAGGATACATGAGTTCACTTCATACAATACATCTACTATATAATTCACTGACATAATTCATTTTTCACACTGGATAATGATTAAAGCTGGGTAGTGGAAGGATCCGAACCGAAGGTCTCTGAGGTTGCTAACCTGGCGCGCACCATGGACTAAGCTGTGAAATTCGACTCCTGACTAGGTCTTAACTTCACTTCCATCACCAAAGTTCATTTCACATTATTCAGAAATAAGATTTATAATGAAATGGTGGGTCAAAATGCTGTAGTTTAGAGAATAAAATAGTTCGTTGAAGCATATAAATTTTGATTGTGATGCGAGTTTCGTAATATTTCAATTTGGAGGTTTGGGGGAATTTATCGGTTTATTTCAGGTTGATATTCACCATGGACTGACATCAGTTGGAGAAATATTGAAAACCTGGGAACACTGGACACCTGTTTCACCCCAGTACGGGGCTCCTCAGCAGCGTGCACCCATGACCTCATCATGAGTCAAACTCAGGACCTTCAGGTTCCCTAGCCAGCACTTTACCATTAAACCACTAGGTTGGGATCCAATGGTCCATATTTCCTACTCCTGTCAGTTCACAATATAGCACGACCTCCATCCAATGTGATTGTCGAGTAACAGTCCCTAATCATTTGCAAATCAACTATAGAATCAATTCTCGAGGAATCTATTGCGTAAGAAGAATGCTAAAGTATGAGATAATAAGAGAAAACTCTATAAGACCATTGATATCACTGAATACTTCGAATATATTTGTTTGTAGCAAGTTCGAGACCGTGATCGGTATAAGTTACTTGTCAAATAAGTATTTAGCTATTGTTTCTTGGCTTTCTTTCGTAGTTTTTCTTCTCACCTGTTTATATTTCATCCCTAAACTATTCTGGATTCATTTTGTGTTTCAACTCAAAATATGGGATCTCTACATGTGTAAACCTTTGCATTCACTAAGTAACCAAACATTTCCACATGAAAATGATAAATCTAAACACTAAGATTTAATTAACCAGTCAATATGTGCAAATTCCTCATTTTAAGCGTGATAAAACACTAATGGAGAATTTAAAAGATTGTTCTTCTCTTTTCCCAAGTCATATAATTGTTGTTTTTCTCCCCAAGTTTACATTCATTGTACTAAACATTATTGACGAATCTCTAGAAAAACAACCATAGAATTCTGAGAAGGATGATAGCAGAAAAAAACTGGTTGCTTGATGGAACTAGCTCTTTTTGCAACATCTAAATGTGTATCAGTTGACCTATCTAACTTTAGTTAGTTATCTTAGACATTATTTATTATTTAATCAAGATTTTAGATTTAAGTGTGAAAAGTGATGTTGAAAGGCAATAGAGATAATACTGTATAACTTACTATTCCCGTAGAATACTTCATAGGTATTATTCATGAATGCCTGTACTTTAAATTGTTTCAGATGAACTTTACAACTGCTAGGCATGTTTCCACTTTCGGTAAAATCAAATTCATTTCCACTTATACATGAGTAATATGATCCGACTGGTATTTCAAATACACTGACGTTATTAGACAGACTGACAGATCTGCCTGAAATAAAAAATTTCATGTCAGTTAGTTTGTTATGCATGAATCCAAAGTGATTTTAGTCAGCTTTCACTAATACACATGATAAATAATATTGTATTTATGAAGTCGTTAAAGATGATAAATTAGGATAACTTTTCTTAGTAAGGAATAGCATAGTGACTTAGCACTGGTTCTCAAGAGCCAATAGATAGGAATTACTGCTTCACCTAGACTTCGCACTTGTTAGCAGTCATCAGCAAGAAAAGTTTGCAATTTCGAATAAAAGGATCTTTGAGAAATTTGGATGGATCCATGTTCATGTGTTCTGAAGTGACAGACTTAATAACAATCAAGCTATTCAGGCTACACCAGACTATTTGTGAGGAACAATGAAAAGTCAACCGAGTATGTGCTGACTTAAATTTTTCACTGAATAAGTAACCCAAATGTCTATATTTGATTTCTATCACTGGTTCATTTGATATTTGATATAGTTTATTGCTTAAATGTTATGCAAATATATGAGAAAACAGAGAAAAAGTTGTTAAAAGAATAACCGAATAAAGGTTAGGTAAATCAACAACTAAGCAGAACGTTTCAGTGCTGCTGCAACTACTTGGAATAGCTTCAAAAATATTGTCTTAAATCTGTTGTAACTTAGTCTTGACACGGTTAAGAATTCGGACGAATATTTTACATGTTTCAGATTTAGATCGAATTACAAAATAAATAAACATGGAAGCGGATTGAATAAATAATGCATCTGCTAAGCAAACATGAAGTTTCTATCCATCTAACCATTAACATACCAAAATGAAATAGAAGGCTGAACAAAGCACAGCAACACAATGCAGGATTAAAGCTTATGTGCGTTAGTTCTATTACAACGAAAGGTTAGAGCGATAGTAATTAACTGAGTTCAAAGTAACACATTCTGCACTATGCAAAGTCAATCAGATGCATGTACGCATAACTTCATTACACTATCAACACTATCTACCTATACTAAGAATTTGACTGAACAACAGTTGGGTACTGAAAAGAACACTGTTTCGTATCCCTTAATTTCTCAGCAAAGAAAATCTGTCTTTTCATTAAATGCGGAGCTTACTATACAGCACTTTCCTTGATTCCACTCTATAGCTATTGTTAGACGCAACTGATAAAGACTGGAAACAGGATAACTTTTACTATTTTTGAAGAAGTATTGTATTCGCAGAATTTTTTGCAGGTGGTGGTACGATACAGGGGAAATTGTTGAGGTTAGATGTTAAGGTATATCTCTGCATCGATGAAGTTGTGAAGCTGCATCAATTCATGTGTTTGATATGTGCTACAACGCTATCTACCTCAATATGCAATTCTTACTATAATAGGATTAAAATTTTAAAAAATTAGGTTTCAGGTTGGCATTTATCATGGACTGATATCAGTTGGAGAAACATTGGAAACCTGGGAGCACTGGACAGCTGTTTCGTCCCAGTATGGAATTCTTCAGCAGCGCACACCCATGAACCCACCAGGAACCAAACCCAGGACCTTCAGGTCCCGTGGCCAGCATGTTATCACTGAGCCAGTGAGTCGGGATCTACTAGTCCATATTTCCTATTCCTGTTAGTTCATGATATAGTGCGACCTCCAACCAGAAGTAAGAAATATAGACCGTTGAATGGCGACCCAGTGGACCACTGGTAACGGGCTGGTTGCAAAAACTGAAGGTCATTGGTCTGATTCCTGATGAGGCCATGGGCGCGAGCTGCTGAATAGCCCTATGCTAGGACGAAACAGCCGTTTAGTGGTATTAGATTTCCAATGTTTCTCCAACTGATTTCAGTCCATGATGAATACCAACCCCACGAACCTCCAAATTGAAAGCTTGGTTTATCAAATGAAACTATAGAGGAGTATAAGTTGTCTGAGTGAGGTTCCTCAGAATACTAGAAATTGAATGTTGAATAATTTCCATGACATGCCTAAGCATTAGTCGCAACAAAGCAGGCATATTTACCATCTCAGTAAAATTTTTAACGTGTGACTCACTGAATATCCAACATTAACTTCCCTATTATAATTTATTTTATTATCTCTTACTTTTCCCATTCTTTACTGTTGGGTATTTTAACAGCGTGTTAACGTTTGTCTTTGTAGAAAGCAGAGAATAGAAGGCAGTTTTAACTGCACAAGACACTAAAAACAATAATAACCAACTGACAATATTGTTTATTGGATAAAAGAGTGTGAACAAAAACTTACCAGGTGAAAGAGAGTCTGGAAATAGATTTTTATCCAAAGAATAGTTGAATTGTAGTTTGTCAAATGAATAAGCACTTGGTGCAGCAGCAGCAGCAGCAGCATCACCATTGCCATCACTACGATTGTGAGGTTTGCGAGTAAATAAAAATTTCAATTTCCAGGTATGATTTCCACTTTCATTACTTGGCGTCACATCCAATGATAATATTGCATACTGTTCCGTACACTCACTTTCATTGTTAATTTTTGCAGCATTGATTTGAGAAAATTTTAACGATTTCAATGATTTCTTTTTCATCACAAGGGAAAGAAAGTCAATCAGTAGTGTGTTGATGCAGTTAAAAAGGAAAATACTGACGAGTAAATAAACACGGATAACAAAAAAAAAGGGAAACCATCCTTTTAGCTGTACAAAATGTAGGCAGTAGAGGTAAACTACGTTTTGTTTTCGAAAGGACGTTAGTATTGAATGATAAATTCTGTTTATGTAACTGATTCATCACACTGTAAGGCTTAGGGAATCAAACAGGTTAGTAGAAAATAAGACTGATGGTATCCACTCTTGTTCTCATATGATCAAGTTTTTTTCAGTTACCAAAAACAGAAGTTCGTTTCATAAACTTCATATAAATAAGGTTTCTAGAAAAAAACTAAAATTTTCTTCGGTTTGCAAAGATGGTTCACTTAGGAGAATTGGAAAATCATCAGTCCCAATCAATGATGCATATTGTCCCAATGATTTCGACCAAAAGAGAACTTTATGTATTATGACGTGTGATATACTGATCGAAAATCATACCAGTTTATTACTTAACTAATTATTCAGTCAATAGCCTTGGAGGAAGTTTAATTCATGTGCATTTTTATTTGTGACATTCTAGTCATGTACATTTTGTGTTACCTATTTTGTTAGCAGATAAGTTATTTACTTCATAATGATGACAACTATTTGCCGACCACTCATTCTGTCTTTCTGGGCATCAGTAAGCTAGTGCTCTGACCAGTTTTACTACATGAGCATTTTGTCATATCAGTTCAGTCAATCAAAAAAGATGTCATCACTCTGTTTGTACAAAAATAAAATGATGTTGAAAAAGAACTAGAAGAACTACTTCAATTTGCTATCATCCAAACCTATCTAACATGATCCAACAAGAAACTAACCCCATTTTGGTTTGAAACTAGACGACCGACAAATAACTTTCAAACAAGATATAATTACTTCAAGACCGAAGTAGTAAAAACAATGACAAGGAAAAACGATTTAACAGGGGAGCCTATTCACCGCTACATAACTTCTGTATTTAGATGAATGCTCAGTGTTTCCTTTATAATCAGCGATTGGTGTGGTATTTTAGTGAACTGTTGAAAAGATTACAAAGTGATGAATCATAGTAGGTGTGTAGTTTGATATGCTTTACGTTATTTTTTTGGAAAATGACAGCATGATTTGCTTACTTTCATATTTATCTTTTCCATACTCATAAGCTTATAACTGGTAACAATTTAGGAAGTTTAATGCTGCCTTCCTAGGGTTGTCTGTCAAAATTAGACTTGATTGCATCTTTTTAAAACGGTAGGTAACTCCTTTCAACATATTCACATTAATGCAGTCTTACGGTCAAGTAGAACACCACTGTCAGCATCAACTCTGGTAGAAATTCACATTTTAAATTGAAATGTAGCACTTCAAAGTTATGCATTGATTAAATGAAAATGAGTCTAAGAGAAGACTGTCCACAAGTATAGCGATAATGACATTCGGTCATGTGAGTGTTAATATTGTATCGCCAATATAGGTCATAATTGGTACTTTCAATCTGAAAGGCCTCAGAGACTATAAGCTAGATGTGACAAATAATGGGATCTGTCATAAAGCAACCTGCTTAAACTTTTCCATCAGACCGTATGCAATTATGCCGTTTAACAATGGAACGTATAAAAGTGATCCTGTATTCATTTTAAAAAATTGCAGAAAAAGGTGTAAAGAGGTTGGTTGTTTACGATCACTTTTACTTTCTTTTTAAAGTTTCATTTTTTATGCAGAACTTGACGATCATGTTACTTGTTGCATCTCCCGTTTCCCAATAACCGTGCGTCGGGAGCTGTACTGTATACGGGTAAGGTCTAGCTGTAGTGGGAGCAGATGAGCAGAATGGATATAAGTAGCATTTAGTGAGAGGGTGGCAGAAGTCATAGGCAATTACCAGCAACGGGTAAATATTCTCCCCAGAGAAACGCAAGAGACAATGTGAGCGTATTAAGAGCAAATCAAGATAGAAGCAGAAAAAAATGAAGCACATTGTGCAAATGACTCTTTTATTAAAAAAAGTACAATGTCATTACTACTGTACAAAATGTCATAATAAACACTGTCCAGCGTCTCAGTCTTTGTCGATTCCTACAATTGGTGTCATTGCTTCTAGACATCATGAAGATCCCATGACCTGTAGTGTTCCAGGATGGAGACGTCAAGGTCTTCCTCAGGGACTTTTAGTCGGTCGCAAAGCTGGCGGGTGTCCGGGATCTAGGAGTGAAGGCCGTGGTGCCTGGCACATTGCTGAGGAGTAGAGCGAAAGCAGCATATGACAGTGTGGAAAGTGTGGATGGGAAGGATATTTGGGAGAGAATGGTTGAACGACTGGAAGCGGAGTTTGACAGCCCAGAGGACAGAGAGCTGGCGATGTAGCAGTTCCGGAGCACGAAACTTGGAATAGACGAAGATCCACTGGTATTGACTGTGAAGTTGACAAAACTACTTCGACAACCACTTCCCACTTCCGATGAGGACTCCCAGGCACAGTTCACCGAAAAAGTTTCCCGAATGCCATCGTTCAGCAGCTACGACAAGTGAATGCAGTCCAATCCATGAATATTAGTGAGCTGGTGAAGGTACCAGACAGCTGATAGGTACAACAGTAACTGAGGTGCAGTCACCAGAGGTAAATAACTGGAAAAAACAAATCGATAACCCTAAGGAGGAGGTGGCTGCACTTTGAATGAATATCAACAGACAGAGTAAATGCTTCACATCCGGAAAACTGGGACACTGGCGAAGAAACTGTCCGGAAAGGCGAAAAAGAAAACGTTTTAAACGATACAATATGGGCTCTATTTTTCCGACTAGACTAGATGTCGTAGGAACGATGCATATATAGAGGTGCTGTGTGTGCTAGAATGCGAATATAGGATACAGAGATAGTGTGTATAATGGATACGAGGGCGGCAGTCTCGCTGATAGATAAGAGTCAGTCTCAGAACATAAGACCATGTGCGCCAACGGTCCACATGGTTGGTGGATATACGTTAGAAATCGCAGACTTATCAGGTCGTGTCGCCGAGATCAGAAAATTCGATTTCCATTCATTGTGACCGCGCGTCCAGAATGGACAATCCTAGGTGGGAGTTATCCGCAGCTCAGGTGGATGGTCTCGGTTGTGTTGCGTTCTCTGAGCTGGGTCGTTTAGTCGTGCTCAGAGAAAACAAGATAATCTTAGGCGCTGATTTTTTAGAGAAGTGGGTGCAGTTATTAACATCAGAACAGGAATAGTGGCGACAAAGTACGGGTCGTTCACCACGAAGGAATGTTTATTAAGACATCTTGTACAGTAGTGATGAAATGTTGTACTTTTTTCAGTAAAAAAAGTCATTTGCACAATGTGCTTCATTTTTTTCTGCTTCTATCTTGATTTGCTCTTAATACGCTCACATTGTCTCTTGCGTTTCTCTGGGGAGAATATTTACCCGTTGCTGGTAATTGCCTATGACTTCTGCCACCCTCTCACTAAATGCTACTCATATCCATTCTGATCAACAGAGTCCACTACCTAGCATCTACTGTGAACTAATCCAGTGAAAAGAAATAAATGACTACTATAGTCACTGGAAGTTTGGTAAATGCTTAAATACTCATTCAAGACATTATCGATTACTAGATACTCTTCATATCTCTTTGTAGTTATGCTGTCACATCAGTCACTCTACCAATATGGACGCAGAATTACTACCCTAATGTTCTAACTTATCACTCCTCATTTCAAGATGCATAGTAGCAAGGTTGAAAACAAATATTGGAAAAACTGTAACAAAACGTCATGGAAGTCATGAGAAGATAAGAAAAAGGACGGTTAAATAAAATAACGAGAAAAGATATGATGACTGGCATTGAGATAATATGTAGATGCATCTGTACCAATGCAATCGATTCTGAGCCATATCACCTACAGTTTCAAACCATAATTTGGATGTTTAGGTGGACTTCAACATGTCAATCTACATTTCCCTACACGGCTTAAATCAATAGTTAGAGACTTTACAAACTCATGCCACACTTTAGTCTAACAACTTTTAACCTTTTTCCAGTTTCATCCTACTTCAATTAATATTTCGGGACACGTTAAATGGTGACTTAGTATTCGGAAATCATGATTCAATCATTTCACCGGATAATGTTTTCGACAGTCTTGACTGATTTACTTATACCTAAGATCTTTTCCACAACCTCTGCACTCTTCCTATGGTGGCTCCAAGGGCATATCCATTAAGGTAAACTTGGCCCAACGACTTCTCATGTCTTTTACTTTTAATGGCCCCATTTCATGGACTTATAATAGGACAGAGCAAACTGCTTCACAGTAGACTCTGTCATCAGTAAGAAATCGGATATCTTTTGGTGCCTTAAGTGTTATGACTTAGCAAAAGTCAATGGAGACTATTTTATCTGTGCCAAGACTTCATTAGTCACTGATCCATTAGGACTGATTAAACATCTTCAGGCATATCGGGTGGTAAATCTAGTCAACTAGTTCACCCTTAATTGTACAAAAGTATTGCTGAAAACAAAGCTTGAAGTAATAATTGTTTACACCGTAGAGATGTGAAGCATGTTCAAAATATTTTTTAATTGCCACTCGAAGCGTTGCGAAAACCTTGCACCTTGTCAGTAAATTGATATAAAAGGACAAAGTCATTTACGCACTCTAAGCTGGCTCAGCAGTACTTGAGGTACGACCAATCACTGTAAAGTCCGATGAGGAAAAGGAGGCTTCAACACGCATATTTATAGCAAGGTTAAGTAAAACGAGAGAGAATTACTATCCTTAATGGATAGCACTGGACGTAGACAACTCACCTTATGGCTTATGGTAGGATCTACCATGACCACAGCTTTTTGAGTGCAGAGCTTTTAGTAGGGTGATATACTTACCCGACACCAACTTCAATGAAATACACTACCATAAGACTTCTTGATTGATGGAGTTGATTGACGCTTTCAGCTCAAGAGAAACAGCTAATATTGGGTGCCTGTATGTGTGTGAACAAACAGACAGATCAATGTATAACGTTTTACTAAAGGCTATCTGTTTGTTCAGGTTGCTTCACTTAAAAAAATTGTAAAGTTAAACGAAATTCGGCAGAAATATGAAGATATTTCAACAACTGGGTTTATACACCGAAGGATAACACCAGAATCGAAGTAATGAGATATTCGCACTCTAAGGATAATACCGAATAGGCACTTCGTTCTACTATGATCGATGAATGCCCAGCCATATACATATGTACCGAAAGTAGCTCAGGAAGTTATAATTGTGAATCAATACATTCAGATATAAAACAAAAAAAAGCCACAGGCTATAGGTTGAGTCACAAGTTTGCAAAGAATGTTTTCATATTCATGGTTCAGATTTAGATATCAAGGAATGTAATGTGACAAATCTATAGAAGTAATCAGATGGTGAAGACAGGAGTTTAACCACTGCATCAGTAACTGCAAACTTGCAACGAAAAATATCCGTTGGTTCATTTCAGGAGTATATGAGTAACTAGCGAATTATATAGAATATCTTCATGACATACAACCAGATTTTATCACAGGGATCTGTGAGTTTTGTCAGTTAAAATCACTCTGAATGGAGTGAACACAACACTGTGACTACGGAATGTTATTTAACTTTTCATCATTATATTTCATTAAGTTGTCTTTCCCCTTGGCGTTTGTAATGTTGATTCGAGTGCGAATCCTCTGATTTTCTTAATTTTCGGATTTTTCATAACTTATTGATGTAAGCATCAGCTACTTGAAACGGAACACTAACGGACCACGTAGGATATTTGGTATGAACTAAGGAATCTCGAAAGTTAGCGAATACTAAGCAATTAGTTCGCCCCAATTTCAGACTCGTTAGTAAAAATCACCCATAATCCAATGCATAATCATTTCTCGGAACTACAAATATTGTACAAAGCAGATTGTCTTTTAACTACAATTTGAAAACCAATGGTTTATATATATATATATATATATATATATATATATCAGCAATTCAGACCGCTTGGCGAATACCTAAAGCTCCTATACTTCTATTGTATTGAAGAAAGGGTCTTCATTAGCTGTCTCTAAAACTTTTGACAAGTTTACGTTTGGCACACTATGCAGTCCTGAAAACCCAATTGAAGACAAAATTCGCCGATTGGTGTTTAGCTTACGCAGTAATCTGTGAAATACAAGAGACCTCAAGGGTTATTACAGGTTTCAGTCCGTAGAAATTTGAAAAAAGTGGAGTGGCAAACAAGAGAGTGATGAAATATTTAGAGGAAAACAGAGCTGTAACTAACCATGCAAAACACCAGAAAATTATGAGATGAAGTAGTAATTCACAGGACTAACAGAGATATTTCAAAACAGAAATAGAATAATAGGTATGTAATCTTAGCGTTTTCAATACCACTCATTTTGTAAGTGGTTGGAAGAAGCGGTGTGGTCAGTGTATGACGTGGCGCTGGGGATGAAAGATAGTTGTATTGGTTCAGCATCTGTAGACACCTCAAAGTTCCCTGGATGGGGTCCGAGAGACCATGTAAGTCAGTAACTTCAGAAAATAGTAGACATGACTCAAATTGAAAAAAGCGGTAACCATACTGGTACTGAAAAGTGACACCAAAGTAACAGATGTTTCCTCGAAGGTATCTCTGAAACTGTCTTTTGATAACCCACTTGTGCTTTCGTTTCCACCATCCACGCGTCTTCATAATGCTGCTTCACTGTTTGTATGATGCATTCAGTGACGCCTATCATGTACCAAGTTTGCATTACATTAATGCAAACATTACTGAAAGTTTTTTATCAAATCACTATCGTACAGTTAACGAAAGAAAAGCTTTTCCAAAGTGAAATAGTTATAAAACTTTTTTCATGATGAAATCTATTTTCAAGTGATTATTGCCTACAGGAGCGTGATAATTTAAATAATTAGATTTACTTACCAAAATATGAGAATTATCAGTATAATTTCCATGTATGTCAAGATTTCTTTCGTTTTTGATGATATGATTGTGAAAAATTGATTATTGTTAAGTATTTTACAATTGCTAAATTCTGAATGAGGACTCTTATGTAGCGAACATCTCACCCCATTACTAGACTGAATTCAAAACCTTCTACTAACAAAATCCATAGTCATCTGTATCTTGATCAGTAAATGAAATTGATGGACATCTGGGTTAAGCCGAATCATCATCAAGCTTTTGGATGTTGAAACACACACACACATTCTAGACACTATTTTTGCTGTGGGACTAATAACTAAGTAACCTCAATTATTTTCTGAACTCTAGGGAATCAGTTTACCTCCGTAGTCAGCGACAGTGTCAACCAAATTTAGTCTTAAAACAACCCATCTAGTTATCGGTTCCCCAAATGCTTAGAGTGAATTATAAAGACTGATATTGATCAGAACAGATCACATCAGCAATCGTACCAGCTCTTGCGCATATTTTAAAGACATGGCAAATATGAGTTACTAAGGATCTGGTTATAATAATCTATATCTTGCTCTACAAGTTGTTATGGATCTCAATTTTACAGTTTCTAAAGTTTAAGAAATCATACAAACTACAGTAATAAGGCTGTTCATGGTATTATCTACATACTGGAGTACTTAGCAGTGAAGTGACAACAAAAGGGGAATCAAATTCAACGCACGGTGAGAGTTTTAGGATCATTTGGATGACTATTGCTCAATAGGATATTATCCGTTTGCACGGGAACCTCATAAATTCTGTAATCAGGATAGTACCGGCTTCTTGATCACTTAAATTTCTGTCATGGATATACCTTTATAAAGTCATCTTCCAAAACTTCTCACTACGATTTACCACCTGTTATATGGTGCTTCAGGTACTACTTTAATCTGATTGAGCAACGCAACAGCTACCAGTTAACAGTCATAGAACAAATAATTTTACTTATGCTTACATACTTAATAGCACTGTCTGTAACAGGTGTGCGCACTTATTTTCCAACAGAACAAAAAGTGGAGCACCTTTAGTCAGTCTTTCTGTTATCATTATCTTCATACCTTATATTTTACTCAGTTTTGTTTCATATGCTTATACTGTATGTTACCAACTCAAGTATGTGTACATATGAGCAAGTTTAAGTTGACACAAGTAAACTGATTAGTGGAGCACTTGCCACAGTTGCTCATTAGTTTTATTTCTCATACAATTTTTCTACAACTACAGAAATAACAAAGGACTGGTAAAATAATATAAAAAGATGACTCTGTCACGTTCACAATGATGTGTCCAGTATTCATAAAGGTGTATAAATCCACGTAAACATTACACATTTTGTTTGAGATTGATACAACTCGTTTTTGCGCTAACCAAAAATATTTTTGTGATGATATGATGCTATTAAGTAATCACGATAACACGGATAATAATGATATGTCCAAACAGCATTTTCCCAATTGTTATCTTACTTCCTATCATCAGTTATCAACTCAAAAACGTTTCTAAAAATTATTATTTTTTCATACTATCCAAACTACGTTGATAAAAGAGAGCCATATTTACGCATATAGTCAATGATTAGGAGCTTAACTGTTTCTTTAAATGTTTGATTGACTGCTTTAATTCGAGCAAACTATATCGCTTGTTTTCAGGAAATTATTACAATAATTGATGAGCACATAAAAGACCCGTTTTCTTGGAAGACATTTCAAACACTAACCAATGATTTTAGTAGGAAACATTTCAAATTGTATGCACGTAATAACAAAACATAGCGGTAATTTAATTCAAAAAATACGTATGAATTTCGCAAAATCAGTTCAATATGATATCATGCATGTCTTATCAAGTAGATTATTACCTATGGCGTACAACGAAGTGTAAAACAACCAGCTATATGAGGTGTATTTTTCATAATGGAGTTTACTATTACATATTGAATTCACTTACCTCAGTATAATAATAAATTTCAAATGCCATTTCTGCCTGTAACAAAAAGCAATAGGCGCTTCCGCTTTTCAAAGAAAATTTATGTATGTCAAAACTTGGTACGGCCGGAGTAGATGTTGTGTGCATAGATGAAGTCGTATTATGAGGGCTATCAGTGGTTACTGGATATACTGTGGGTATTGTTTCTTCTTTTTCTGTTGTTTCGGTTGTTGCGTTCGAATAAATTCCAGTCGAGGAGTTGGTTGTTATACCTGGTGTGTGTGTTACGGTAGACTCAGTTATTGAAGTAGATGTTTGGGTTACAGTTGACTTAGTTGTTGAGTTATGTACAGGTGGCGTGAAAGTTGTGCTACTTGTATTTTGAGGTAAAGAGGATATGTCGTCGTCATAACCATCAATCGGTTCTTGAAGACCTCCTAGCTGCTTATCATTTTGATAATATGGCGGTGATGCACGTTCGGCAAGCTGCATATTCGCATATTTACCCATTGATGGGGAATAGGAATGATTCGGAATGTTGGTAGAAGGAGGAGTAACAACTGTTAAATAGGATTCTGGTGTATTCGAATCATGAGTAGTTGATGTAAGCGAAGATTCAGTGAAATATTGTTCGCTAGTATCGCTGTACATTGTTGAGAATGAAGTGGATGTGTCCACATTTGCAGAAAACTCTGTGGACGGAAAAAGGGTAGTTATCTCGTCATCTTTCTCCATTGCCTTAACCAATTCCTCAACATTAATGTAGGAAGTGGCATCGCTGTTGTTTGAAACATCTGTCAGAATACATGCGTAATATTTTAAATTGGGATTTTAATAACTAGGTCTTATGGTTACTGATACCTTAATCAAAAATACTAAACAATTTTATGACCAGTCACAAATACTCTGGTAAAGTTATCTTAATTAAATTTAAATTATTCGCAGTATGATATAGATCAGAATACAGTGTTGTCTGGTTTACTTTGGAAAGTGAAAATCATATAATGATATGCTCGCAATATTCTGTCAATATTTCGCAAACAGTAATCTGATAATCATACACAATAACTTACTATGAAAAACTTCGTGATGAATTAAAGTAAGCAGATAGTAAGCCGACAGAAGTTAGGTAGGATTGTACAGATCTCATTGAAATAAAACAACTTCAAGAGTTTTCATTTCAACCAACTAAGGATATCACACACAAGAAACATGCTGCATGTGAGTAAACAGTACAAAACGAAAGTAAAAAAAATATCAAGCAGGAGAAAGTAGTTTTTAACTAAGACAACACAATAAGTTACACCAATGAGATCCAGACACAGAAATATCATAAAACTAGGGATTCTCCTGTAAGACGCTATTCCAAATTTACATAAACAGGCTCCAATGACTGTCACGAGAGTGTTTTCTGATTTATATAATTCCCTGCCTATCCTTACGGCCAAGAAGATCTTTAGAAAATGTCAACTAGCAAAACATTTTGGAAGTAAGATTGAAAGCCTGTCTTCAAGTGATTAGGGTCTTAAATGTTCCGATACGAATAAGAAGTAACAAAGTACACCCTACCTCTTTCACGATTTGTTCCTTTTTAGAAAGGTGATTGGACGTAAATGACCTACACCCATGCTCAAGATGCCAAACCTACAGCTTGGACCTGAAAAGGATGAAGATGTCAGTGCTCCAAATCGTCTTAAAGTTAAAAAGGCTGTCTTAGATCTGAAACTAAGCAAAGCATTGTTAAAATCAAGACAATTCAGCTCCTGTCATTACTATCTATTTTTGGGGATAAAATTTCAGGCAAAGTTCAAGATTTGTGGACTGCATTAGTATTTCTGTTCCTCCTATGGACTCAAATAATCAACAATTCAAGCCGGTCTAGGAAAAACGTTTTTTCGAAAATAAAATCAGGGGTAGAGCACTTTGGTGGTAAACTAGCAGATTATTTTGCACCTAAGATATTCCAAACAGTGGGTGCGTAATACTTACTGGATGACACTTTGAATACAATTTAATAAGAATGGGTTTAGACTATTTGATGAAGGAGGAAGCCTCTTGCAATAATTAAGCGAGGTATTCTGAGGAAGTGGCTGTGGCATACATAGCGAAACGTTCAGAAAAATCTGTTATTTGGAACGCACTGGCATTATATTAAAACTCATTTCTGTAGGCAACGTATGTTTTGAAGGCTACCACATCGAAGTGATAACTGTTTTCGACCATGACTTCAGAACTGCATCAACGCCTGTTGGATTTGCTAAAGCTTTAATGTGGGTTTTTTCGTCTGCATCCGATATATATATATATATATATATATATATATATATATATATATATATATATATATATATATATAAACCAGTTGGAATGTAGGATTTAGGTGATGAAACTGTCCTTAGTATGAAAAATATATGGTGTAACAGATTCGAAATTGGGAGTCTCAGATCATACCAAAGCTCCAGGGCTTGTTCCAATAGAGGTAACTGGGTCAGCTTGGTTTGTGTACTCTGTTACTTTGAGGACTAGATTCTCATATTAGTACTGTATATCTTAAGACTTAAGCTCTGATTTGTCCTATTCAGTCCCCTTCCCTAAAACAGATTATTTGAATAAATATCGTAAAGTATTTTAAAAACCGCAGTCAAATCCTTTCTGTAGAAATTTGTTTTCTTTTAAAACTCATAGTTTTGTCATCTTCTACGAAACATTCGGGGCAAAAATTAATCTTGCTGTGATACAAAGCACAAGGATGAACAGGTAATTCTATCCTTACCTCTGACAACTGAAAAGTGTAGTTGCAATAGAGAATATGCTGTTGCACACTCAATGATAAGCTACTTCGGAAACTAAACATCATTATCACGAAGGAGCTAGTGAGTCGATAGGTAGTAGTAGTAATAGTTTGGTGCATCAGCAATTCAATGGATACTACTAAGTATTAGACTACAATGTGGAAATACCTGATGTGCTCTTTTCTCGGAAGTGCAGCTCTTATCAGTCTAAATATGGCAACAGAAAGTATTTAAAGCAATCATAATACTTTTAATAATACGTGCAATGTGGTACATGTAGTATGTATGTCAGTGTGAGGAGTCTGATGGGTTATGAACACTCATCGAAACGTATTACGCATACATTGTAACCACTAGCTCAAAACGAAATGGCAGCTTATGTACAGCTGTGGTGTTAAAGCATAGTGAAAGCGTAAGAAACTGACAGCTTTTAGTCTCTCGGATCTATTCCTTGAAGCTTGGTTTGTGTTTTTGATTTGTTTCTGAAGTGGATAGGAAAATCTCTCCTGCTTTTTTGTTTTTAGTCCCACTAAGGTGAATGCTTTTGTGAGTTAGTGATTGCAATTTGTAGAATAATTAAGGAGCTACGAGTTGCTGGGAGGATTATGGGGTCTATCGTGACTCCTGTCTGTGCCTTCAGACACTTGTTACTTCGTCCTCTGCACTTAATCAACGAGTTTAAGCGTGAACCGCAGATACGCATGTAGAATCAGGAAAAACGTTTCTTGGAGAATGAATTCCGAGAACAGGAGGCCAAAACGGTTAGAATAACCAAGAACCACCGAAAGAAGATGGATTGGTGGGTTCTAAGAATCAATAAAACTGGTTCCCTCCAATTCAGGGGTATGTTGAGTATGAGTTAGCCAAGTATGTCCAACTACAGGGATGTTTCGAAAGTTCGGTTTGGATGGATGAAATATATCAGCTGGGTGTTTTCTAGTATGAAAAAATCCCGGAAGGGAAAAACATGAACAGTTTAGGTTATGCAAACTTCTGAAGCTTATGCTCCCTTATGTTAGGCATGGGAAAAAGCAGACTGCAAAGTTAGCGTTATAACTTTACTCAGCGTTACAACCGAATCAATGAATGAAGTGACATGATTTTTGATAGATAGATATATATGTATATATGCATACCAGCTCCACGAAAAAACTTAAATAGAATTAACAAGAATTAAACACACATGGTTTAAAGTTTCTATCAAAATAGTGACCACAAAACTTACGCTGTTGAGTTTTGCTCAGTTCTGCACCAGAAAGTTGTGTATAAACTATAAAAAGCAAAATTCCTGAAAAATCATGGTAAGTATGATGAGCAAACTAACCAGTATTCATAATACTGAAACTGCACACCATAGTAACGGATACTACAAAACGATTTAATATTATGGCATTTCTTGAGGTATTCAGCTAAACAAACCCCAGGTTTTCCAATATCCAACATCTACTTCGAGCCCCAATGGCATCAGTTTGTTTCCAAGCCTTCGATTTTATGTCTTTCTGAATGGTTTCATGCCTCTAATGACTTCCTATGCAGCGGATTCCAACAATCGCTTGTTTCAGAACTGGTTAACCCGATATGAGTTTGCTTGTTGTTTAAGGTTCTAGGGTTATCTATGTTTTTTTATGGAACTGCAATAGAGATTGGTATTTGAATTTCATGCAGCCAAATGGCTATTTGTGCTGGTTAGAATAAGATGAGGAAATAAGAGAAGAAAGATGGAAATGAGGTTAGAGAAATTGGGAAAGCCAGTGGTGACAGGAAAAATCTAAATTAGTAGCTTTGAAAAACAGCAATTGAGAGAGGGAAATCAGCTGGGAAAATATAGGTAGGGATAATTCAAATAACAGCGATAATCTTAATAATGGTGGGATGTTAACTAGAGGTGTTAGTCGTCTGATAGGGAGGCGGAAGATTGTACCGAATCTACACTGGTCGTGGCAATTACAGAGCGGATATGAAGACAATGGAGATTGTTATATTAAACAGATACTAGTTAGTCGTTTCTGTTTAGTCCATGTTCCAACTGAATGAGTGCAGTCTTCTTGTCACTGAGCAGCTGTTCAACCTTTTCTTGAAGTTGTCTGTAGAAGAGCTGTGACCACCTCAGCAGGAAGTGTGTTTTAGTGGCTACAAACTCAGGAAGAGAAGTAGGGTCGACTGCATGTTTCCTCCCTTTGGTCAGTGACTTTTGCCGCTCTTCTATAGGGCTTATCACGGTGACTTGAGAGTTATATCTCCCTTGTAAGCTACTAACAGCTCACCAAGTACCTTATGGTAACTGAGCTTATTAGGGTCCGAATCCAATAGCCCATCTTCGTTTGCTTTTGTGGGAACAGCAGAACTCCTTTTGTGGACCAACCCCAGACATTTTCACTTGAATTTTCTCCGTTCTTCTGACATGGTGGTGCGAAGTCGTTGCTAACTTCCTGGTTACATAGTGTGAATGTCTTGTTAAGCTTGAACAAGAGTTCCGGTTCGATGGCACCTAGTTGACCATGCCAGTAGTGTAGTACCACAGACCCTGAAGGTTCCTTCTGAATAACTCGAATTAGTGTCCAGTCTAGCAGGTAATACTGAACCCTGATCTTTTTTTTGTGACTGTATGAAAGGTGCATACGACTCAGGGAAACAAGGACACCTTCTGCAGATCAGCAGTCTTAAAAAAAGGCCGTCAAGCATTTATCCAGGTTAAATGCCAGTCTGTTATTCCTAGCCCATTTTTCAACCGTTCTGAGTTCACGTTATGGTACATTCGAGTCCTTTTTGCCACTCACCATTCTAAATAACTTTACATCATTGTGCGATACTGTCGTGCAGCTGAAACTCCATGGAAGGTCGTTCGCAAAAAGTATGAAAGGTGAAGGATGAAATAAAGCTACATGGGATATACTGGATGGTGAAGCTTCTTATGCTGTGCTAGCTTCGCTTGCGTTTTTTCAGACTTATCTACTGTTTTCATAGCCCTTCAGCCAAGATATCGCCAAGCGTCTGATACTCTACCTTGTTACACTGGAAAGAAGAGCAGCGCAAAGGACGGTGTCGAGGGACTTGACAGGGTCTAGTGTACTCGGGGGAACAAGGACCCGAAGATGGAAGAGTGGTGTCCGGTTGTTACAGGTTGCACTCCTTTTCCACCTAAGTGTGTTCTGACGTTTTCGTTTATCTGGCCGTCGTCGACTGGTGCCGTACTTTTAGCTTGGCTTCCAGGCGGCCCCCAGTATCTCTTTCGGACGATGCTGGTCCAGTTTCTGGGTGCTGCTAGCACTACATGGTCATGTTAAGTAACCTTTCTCCTGATGGTACTCCTCACTAGTTGGCGGTGACCTCCAGCAGGCAGGGAAAGCCACATCTTTGGCCAAGGAACTGTCAGTAAACGACGATTCATCCACACATAGTTTGCCTTGTTGTAGCGAAGACAGACCGGAGCACCCCGAAAATGGTCGACGGCCAAGTACTTGACTAGACTCCACTGTGCGATGATCAGTACCATGGATAGCAGTTTGAACCTGGAAATTCACATGTGGCAGAAGGGTGCCAGTGAGAAGACAGTTCCGCTCTAATACCGTTCCGCTCGGCTCCCAGAGAGCATAATCGCAAGTTTTTCTGTTTGCCCTAGCCCTGTTGGTGGCATTTAGAGGGTTTGGTGTGAACGTGCTACTCGATGTGAGACTTCTTCGTCCAAGGTTGAAAGTTGTGGCTTTCTAGTCCATCCCTATGATATTCAGGTTGGGCCCTCCAGTTGACTATGTAGACATTACTTGAAGTACGCGCCGCCTCTCTTCCACGTCGGTAGTGGGTAGCCAAAAACCCACCACTTAATTAGTACCTCTAGCTGCAATCTGGCACCAGACTGAGTTTCGAGGCTCTGTTGGCATACCGTCAGTAGATAATCCACCATAGAAAAGTTTATCCGCGCACAGTGCTAGCTAACCACCCCTTCGTGCTGCTTGTTTCTTTTGAACGGAACAGCATGGTGTATAGTCACCCCGATATCATTGGTACCTGGCGGCACTCAGTCTTCCGGCAAAATCGGCATGTCCAGAGTGAGAAGAAAAAAGAATCATTGTTCCGAGCTCTTGATTTTAAGTCCCCCATCGTTGCAGTCAAGGTACCTTAAACTGCCTGTCGGAAGGCAGTGTTCCTGTGGTGGCCTGCGGTGGAGCATTGTTTGCAACTGCGGGAGGGGCTGCTGCCATTCCATCAGCCTCGCCAGAACCATTCCGGTCAGGTTCTTTCCCAAAGTAGTTTGTGCCGTCACTGCTAATTGAAGGTCATACTTCTAGTCCTCTGGTTGTCAGTGTGGCGTGGTGGTTGCTCGAACTGGTGTTGGCTGTTGCCACAGTTTTCTGAGCCCTCTAATGTAGCAATGAATATTTCTGTTGGTGCTCACAGTTTTATATCACGTCTACAGGGTCCGGGATCGAGACTTTGGTTCGAATCCGGCCGCGGTCCAAATTTTCATTTCGCCTTCAATCGTCA